TATTATTATTGTTATTATTTTATTTAATATTTTCTCTATTGATCTATACTCATGGGGGCTTTCTCATCTTACATACATTTTCTCATTTGATTTCTGCCTACAGTAACATACAGTCTATACAGTTTTAATACAGTACAAACTCAACACATGCAGGGTCTGATTTCCATATGTAGTGTGTGTGTGTGTGTGTGTGTGTGTGTGTGTGGGTTAGATAGAATGTGTACAATGATCTTTGAGCACATCCAACGCAGTCTATATATATCCTCAATACTCAAAATGTTGAAAAACGATGCTTAGGTTGTTTTTATTGATACTTGTCTATCTTAATCTGTATATTACAACACAGGATTTAAAAAATTGTTTTGTTCCTTGCTACATCTTTACTAGAGAACAAATAGACACACACAAACACACACACACAGTTTACATCTCTGTCTGTGTATTGACCTTTGACTTGTACCACTCATGTTTAAGGCCTGTGTGTTAATCTCTCCTGTCAGTATGAGTTAGGGCTCTATCTTTCGAGCATTAGGTCTGTCAGAGGAGTACCACACTTGGCAACCAACGTGTGTGTGTGTGTGTGTGTGTGTGTGTGAATGACAGAGAGAAACAGAGACAGAGACGGAAAGGAAGACGGTCATCTAAGATGCAATCTGTCCTCTTATATGCTGACCTGTTTGACCCTTGTTGAGCATGAAACGAGGTAATAAACTTGCTACACTAATGAGATTGCATCACTAGATAAGGAGAACCATGCTTGTTTCAGTATTAGGCACACAGAGGTGAATCTTATGGCGGATGTCTAAGAGTTCATGAAAAGTTTCATAAAGTTCGTATTAAAACCAGCAGTTCTACAATTTTGATTTCAAGTTGAGTCAAGTTCATTTTTATGTCACGTAACAAAAAATTATGGATGAACTATTCTTCCTTACAATGAAAACTTCATGAGGAAGACCTCGTTAGGAACAAATAATGTATATGCCTGTAAAATGACAGAAAGTCACTGGCATTGTACATTTAGTAGCATTGCAGGTATATTGGTATTGGTGTATATGTTGGCCAATAAGTTACAAGACAAACACAAAAACATTTGATTTTGTGAGGTAAAAAATCATATACATAAAAGTCCTTTCTACTTGTCTTTAAAAACACAACACATTTATGACCACCACATTAATATTGGTCAGTTCGTCTATTTTATGTCATGTTATGATATTTTATATCAGTAGGTGGAAGTATTTATCTGTGCTCTAAATTAAACTTCTGCTAAAAAGGAATTAATTCATTCACTACTGTTTACAGTTGTAAAAAACAACAAGAAAAACACATACCATGAGTATAGATCAATAGAGAAAAAAATATAATAAAATAATAATAATAATAATAATAATAATAATTAGAAGTATATGAAATTAAATAGAAACTCTACCAGAGCAATTAGGTAAACTCAAAAAAATATGTAAGAGTAATGTGATACCATCCACTTTAACAGCATACTCCAAAATACTATATAAAATGATTAACTAATTATACTTAATGTTTAATTATACTTAATGTTTGTAATGTTTGTTCCCCCAGAGAGTAGAACAGTGTGTTATGGTCACAGCTTACTAAATGATATTACAAAAATAAGTGGTAAATTGGTTGTTTTATGTACTTGAAGGTGCCGTCTGTATACTGGATTATTCCATAGCAGCTAAGCAACTATCTTCCAGCATAATTTGTTATCCCCGGACCAGTCACATATAGTTTGCCCACCAGAGAGCACTGACTTTTTACACTGTAAAATGTTCTGCTCTTGGTCACAATCAAATTTATAAATCTGTTTAAAAAAATACATTTGGCCCTGAGTAGAATAGAAGTGCTACAGGGAAACATCTTATTCTGGTTTAGGGTCATCAAGGCCTGTTCCATCACCATCACCAAGTGTTGAAACTCTTAGTGGAGAACAACCAAGCAAAGAGGAAGAAAGCTGTATATGTATATGTATATGTATATGACATGCAGTTCTCCATACAGAGCAAATGAGCTGCAGACCTTATTAGGAGACAGAGTCAGAACCAGTAATTATAATGTGATTATAAGCCTGGTTTTAAGCATATATATTATAGACAGCTATAGATAAACATATAGCTATAGTTCTTTTTCTAACAGCTAAGATATAATCAGAAAAGGCTGCTACTTCTTCTTTATGCTTTCAATGCCACTGACTGTATATACTTTTGCATTACAGCCCTGAATTTTCAGTAGGGGTCTCCCTCTTCCCAGCAAAATACACACACAACATAGCATGGACAGGTACAGTACATAGAGAGTACAATGTGGTTAGTATCACTGGCTGAGTGATGTAACTCGATTTCAGTTTTTGTAATGTGTGTGTAATGGGAGATTTTCAAAAAGTACATAAACTCTAGCAGCTTTGCAGCATGTGTATCATAATGCTTGTAGCAAACAGTTACTTCCAAACATATCGCGCACACATGCACTCAGCTAGAGCCAAATATGGACAAAAAGAAAAGGAAAAAAAATGTTTTGTCTGGAATGAAAAAGTGAGAATATAAAGCGATAGTCCTTAACTGAACTTGTAGAGGTAACACTGATGATGAAAGATTTTCTTAACACCTGACATTTTAACATTTGGAAATATTTGTTTTTATTATTACATTTAACACCAACAGTTTTCATTACAGATCATTTGCTTTGGATTGTATTACAGAAATGTATTTTTTTGGTCGATGAGTATTTTTGTAATACAGTTGACCATGCTTTTAACATACAGGAGATTAGGCAAATTATTGTTGTTTTCAAGTCATGTTTTGTAACCCTCAGTTCTCAAGAATATCTTTTGTGTTTTTCTCCTCTGTGAGAGAATACATTGCCCTCAGTTTCCTACCTCTTTTGAATGACTGCTGAGGGTAAATGGAAAGCTTTCAGATTTGAATATAACTTAAAATGAGTGCTTTATTTAATGCAGGTGCACTGAAAAGGTCAGCCAATTATGGATATATTCTAGGAAAAGAAATTGCTTTGGTATCGATTGCAAGACATGTCATCTGCTACAGGTGCTTAATACATTAATAGTTATCAAAAAGCGGGGTATTAAAAATTCAATAGTTAATTCGATGTAGCAGGTATGTCACATTTCTTAAAGGACCAGTGTGTAGGATTTAGTTGCATCTAGCAGTATAGCTGCAGATCGAAAATCCCTTGCTTCACCATCCCCATTCTTTTTTTCAGGTGATTAAACACTCATGAAAACATACCTATTAATATTATATTCAATTTCTGCCAATAGATCCTCCTGAATCTTACTCACTGGACCTTTAAATTCACTGATTTGACGTGCTTATAATTTAATTGTAATGAATTTCAGATTAATCTTTAATCACGTCTCTTGAGAACGTAACAAAAAATCTTCTTAGAGTCTACCCACTTTGTCCCACCATTTTTTATTTTTCTATAACTCAGTTTTTCCCTCTTTCTCACACAGAAACCAGAACCCTCACTTCTTTAATCCCTCTCCATGTGTTACCAATATCATCTCTTTCTCTTCTGCTTCTCCTGTCGACCATCTCCCTTCAACCCCCTCACCTTCCTCTTGGCTCCCTCTGACTTCCCAGCTGGCCTCTTGTGAAACATCCCAGTGGGTACGTTCAGAAGCATGTATCCCAGGGCTCGCTCAATGTTCGCCAGAAGGGCGTTGCAACCTGCCAGTAGTTGGGTCCAGGGAACAGCTGCAACCTCAGTAGCCAGGGCTTTGCACTGCTCGGAGGGTTGGTACGACCTCCGCTACCCTCTCTGAGGGGTTCAACATGCGTCATTCAGGGAAAAGGTGGAGTAAGACAGGTGAACAAAGTAGAGAAATGTGCCAGGGAGAACAGGAGGAGATAAAAGATGAGAACAAAGGAAACAGTGTTAGATTAGATAGATAGATAGATAGATAGAGATAGATAGATAGATAATAGATTAATAGATAATAAGTAGATAGATAGATTAGATAGATAGATAGATGGATGTGGATTTGGGTGGAGACTTTTCCCACGAGGATAAAGATGGACCGACCACCAGCAGGATCACACAGCGGAACTAACTGAGAATGTAAATCCCACCACAGAGACTATCAACACAATTTACTGGCGGAGAGAGAGAAGGTGATATACTGATAGAATTTCCTGTTACGCTATGATATGGTAGCCATCTTCTTAATAGGAATAGACAGCAGGCTACTTTGAAGACAAACTTATTCCCAAACCCAAAAAGCTCTAAACATTGAGCTTGTCTAACATTCTGCCCCGTGTTTGTGTTTGTTTTTTCTTCATGAAAGCGGCGGCC